TGATCAGACATTACTATTAAAATGCACTGTCCTTTGCTAAACTGAGATCCACAGGTTGAAGACATACAATGCCAGAGAATGAAGAGAGAAAATTGCCTCACGGTGCTCAGTGAAAAGGCTGCGTCCAAAAAAAGCTGCGTGTTTAATGAGATGAACCTTGCGTGTCTCGACTCAAACTCCATCACATGACACTACCATCTCTGTCTTCACAGCACTCTTGTTGCTGAATCTCTCAGCAGGGTCCTACTTCACATGTGTGTTCAGAACAGATTGCCTTCTATCTCTGATTACATCCATTGTGCACACAGCTAGTTTAAAGATTGCTTTCTCCTGCTTCAACAAGAGAAGACCCAGTCCTCAAAATAACTACCTGATTTCATTCAAGCTCTGTGAAATCTCACATCTTTGATTTCTGGGGTATTTTTAAATCAACTCTAGGTTAGGTTAAATTACTCCTTTTAGTCATACTGCGTGCAACTGCCAGTTTGAGTGGTACTGCTGCTGAGATTGAAAGAGAAAATGGATGGAAAACCCAGACGCCCCTGTGCTCTCATGTGACATTAAGCTGATTGAACAAGAGACTGAATTGCTCTATAATAGGCTATATTATTTTTGGTGATTTCGTAGTTTGAGTCAGTCAACACCCATTTATACCCATTATGTGAGATTATGGGGGAAAACATTCATCATATAAACCAGAGTTGTACCTGAATCTATTGACAATATGAATTTAAAAGTACACGTTTTGATTGCTGCGTGAATTAGGGGAGAACAGGCTACTTTAAGGCATAGTATATGAGAATTCAGATGAACGTCACATTATGTAATTTAATTTCCAGAAGAGGGCAGCAGAGTCTGCAAGCTGAAATTGCAGTGCGTCTTGAATTGATATTTTAACCATATAAACCAGCAGCCATCATTTTTCACCATCGTGTCATTTCAAAGCCATATGCTGTTATTTTATTTATTTATTTTTCTTCCTGTGGAACAATCTTAATGCATTGATTTTCCATACAACATCACTTCACATCATGGCCAGTGACGGCTGGTGGAAAATTTTTTAATTAGGGCTGTGCCCATCCAACATATTTAGCAAACATCCCAGGAATTGTCATAATTCACAATTTATGTATACAGTGCAACAGCAAAAACTGTGAGGAAAACAAAACATAATTGTTACATCATCCTCAAACTTAATCCCCTGCAGACAGGAACACATAGGGCCCTGGGCTATAGTATAGTATAGTAACCCAAGGGCCCCCCTTCATAGTAGCGTATCTTGGTGTCACAACGTTTTCTACCAGGAATAATTCGTTTTTTTTATTTGTTTTATCAAATCTTCAACACAGAGATACAATGAGTATGCACACTAAATATTCCAGGCTACAATACATTAAAAGAATAAATACATTAACACTAGATATAAAGTCAAAGCAAACAGGTTTCCAGAAGCAAAAACAACTTTTGAGCATATACAGCTCCCTTAAGGAGTTTATTTTCAATAGTTTTATTATTAGAAGGTCTTCTTTCTGGCCCTAGAAGAGGAGAATCATCAGGGCTGGACTGGTGCTAAAAGTCAGCCCATCTGGCCCACACAGTCCCCCATAAATGTTTTGCTGGGAATAAATTAATTGGAATAAATTATTTATTAATAAATAACGGACGAAAACAAATGATATTTTGGAATACTTAAAATGCATGTCTTGCTGGGGTTAGGGCAATTGGAATAAATAAATAATTTACTAATAAATAACGGACGAAAACAAATGATATTTTGGAATACTTAAAATGCATTTAACAATATTAACATTCTATTATATTGCAGGCTCTTAATTATTGAATTTATATTTTTGTGCAATTAAAGTTTATTAGAACTATTAAATTCTCCTTTGTAGTTGCCCTAATGAAAAGCTAATTCTTGAATCCAGAGTTAACGGTATAGTATTAGTAAACCTTTATAAAATTGACTTATTGCCTTTATTTGACCCAATATTTAATAGGCTATAATTAGCTTATAATAATTGTCATGACATTAATAATAAATATATTTAATGCCATATTTCTACAATTTCAGTAACTGCATGTTAAATAGCCTAGGTGTGGTGTTGTGGATTAAATTGCTTATTTACAGTTTTGTACAGTTTACATCTACACTTTAGTTTACATGGTCGGTGCTATTCAATCTGGTTCAAATATAAGTGTCATGTGTGTGTCGAATTCAAATGGGCAAGCGCTGCTTATTATCACTTCAACAGAGCTGTGAAAGTGTCGAGCTACAGTCGCGGGTGGGAGACACCGGTCCGGTGTGGTCCAGCTGTTCTTTTGCGCTGCGTGGTTTAATCAGGTAGCGTAGTGCCGTTTCATCACTTGGCTTTAGAGTTTGTTTCCCATGCGCTACTGTAAAGCCGAGGCGACTAAAAGATACCCGCAACTCTAGTGTAAACGAGTACAAAGACATTTTTATCGCTCATATCTTTTGGACTGAAATAGCGCAGACCCCCCATATGTGGGGGCGTGGTGGGATTTCTGCAATCTGCACACCGGGAAAAGCTCGGGTGCTCCCGATGGCCAATCAATTCTAGGTCTACTTTTCCTTTCCTCCACAGCCAATCACGTCGGGCCCCCTCAATTCACGGGACCTGGGGCTTCAGCCCGCCCTTATGTTAATCCGGCCCTGCCTGCAGACTAGTCCAGACTTCAGCAGTGGCTCGTAGGGGCGATAACATAATTGCTAATTTCGGATTAGATTTGTGGGTGCTAATTAGTTAAAGGTGCAATAGGTGATTGTCTTCAGAAACATTTTTTTATTTTTTTTATTAGCAAACAAGTCAGAATGAAAACAATGTAACATCTCAATTCAACATCATCCAGTCCTCCCTCCCTCTTCAACCCTGCGGTCTCTTTACAATGGGGAGCACACTGAATACATAATAGGGTTAACAGAAAAAGTCACAGGGATCATGAAACAAGAATTTCCGTGAAAAAAAAAACAAACACCCGCAGCATTCTAAGTCCAAGTCATTGTTCTGTGTAATATATTTGGAGATCTTCTCAGCAGCTATAGTCCAGGTCTGTAATGTAGAAAGTTGTGCCATATTCACCCGAGCCGTGGATATTTCTAATAATAACATAATAATGTCTTGAAGTTGCATTAGCCACTTTGCACATATTCAAAGTATGTGGAGGGAGCCAGTGTTGTGCTAACAATTCTTTGGCAGATGTCAACCCGGCAAGCCAAATCATTTTTTGCAACTTAGAAAAACTCAACGCAGAATTGTCATTCAATAGTAATACAGCAGGGTTCACCGGTATAGGGTACTCAATAATTTTTGATAAGGTAGTACATACTGCATTCCAAAAATTTTTGTTGATCAAAAGTATACTATCATATATATATATAAAGGTTCCAAGTTGTTGATCAGAACAGTTATTGCAGAAGGGGCTGAATGAAGAGTCAATACGATGTCTTTTCAGTGGGGTCCAATAAGTTCTGTCCAAAAAGTTAAAATGAATCAGTTGGTGATTTGGATTTCTTGATGAAGTAAGAACGTTCTGCCATGTTCTACCCCAGTTCATGATATCCTCATCAAGTTCACAATCTCTTTCCCATACACGCTGTATAGCTAAGCCCTTTGATGTGGCCTCCAAAACCTTCCCGTACATCCATGAGGTAAAGTGTCCAGACAAAGTCATATCAAGCCGGGTAATAATTGGATGCGAGGGGAGCATTCCCCCCCAGGGCACCCCATAGGCCTTCATGGCCAATCTTAGGCGCAGATATAAAAACAAGGAGGAAGTTTCCGTTCCATACCGTTCACACAGTTCTTGAAAACTTAACATGTCTTTAGGTCCCGAAATATCTTTCAGTGTATAGATGCCTTTCTGCATCCAGTCTCTGGAGACAAATGGTGCACCTCCCGAAAGTTCAGAAACATTTTTTGTTATGCTGGTTGAAAGTCTCTTCACATCCCGATAGCAATCATTAAGTTAAGTGGTCTAAATGTATTTATCTGTATTTATATATTCTGTGGAAGGCGTAGGACCAAGAAATGTTCGTCCAATCAAAACGCTCGGTCGGAGCATTTTAATTGGCTTTCCTACCTGCCTATCAACGTATGTATACCTCTGCGCACCCTGTTCGCGCCGACAGGATACGTCATCAGCGCGTTCACGCACGCTGTGCAGACAGAGCGAGAATGGCAGACAAACATCAACAACCCGATCTTCCTTCCTGGTATTGTAGTACTTTTAAAGTTTTCTCACCGGTGAATGACACATGATGTAGCCCAGCGGTTCCCAATTCCAGTCCTCGTGATTCAGATAACCAGCTCGTTAGAAGTGAGCTACGTGCATGAACTGTGTTCCAATCAATATGATCCCTGCACAGTGTTCATTGCTCCCTACTCCCTGAGCAGGGGAAATCCGTTGAAGTTTACTTCACTTCGGAACATGGGCTGGAATTAGGAACCGCTGATGTAACCTATTGTAGTAATGTTGTTTCTGGTATTCTGGTCTGTGAGCGTAAATGCGTTCAGGGGGCGTGGCTTTGGATGGCGATTGCAGGGAGGGTGGGACGTTCGCTTTCAGTGCTATCAGGCTAAAGTTAGCATTTTCCAAGATCTCCTACTGCACCTTTAAATTTTATGTCATATCTTGAATATGTTTATATCTTTAATCAGCCATTGGCTAAACTGCTACATATGCGCCTCCTGTGAGCAAATTCTCTATCGCCGCAGAGCTGAACTTGACACATGCGGACAACTAGAGGGGACAAATGGGGAAAACATATATTAATAAGCTATAATTTATAATAATAACAATAATCATTGTGTTGAGACAATCAACCGTTACATTTTCTCACACAACAGCTAGCTATTCATCTCGCTTATGTAGAGTCATTATGCTTAGTTATTAATAATAATAAAGTTCTGCAGTCCTCTCAGTTGTCAAGCTTCTCCTCCCCCTTGTTTTTCCTTCCACACACACTCTCTCTTTAGCGCATGTGTGGAGCTTCATGGCCAGTGGAAGTGAGAGCTGCTGTGACATCAGCAGCATCATGTGTGAAAGATGATCCTGGGCTGCTGACTGAAGCAGGCAGAGAAGAACGAGGTAAATCATTGTGTCGTATGTTCTGCATGCCCTGTCACACCTCACCGTATGTGTCCAAAGGTTTCTTATGCCTTGTGCAACTTCACTCAGTAAAACTATTAGAGAGAAAGCATTTGGAAGAAGGAGTGAAACAACATTAGAAACAACAGTAGGAGGTTTTCCTTTCACTTTTGTAGCCCTTGCTCTGATATGTTGCATGTTGTGGTAGAATGTGAGACAGCTTGTAAAAATCGTTTAAAAGAACAACAGTACGCAGTTCTGAGTCTGACAGAAAACAGCAACGTCTGATTTTGCTCCCTTGGTGACATGGCAAAGGGATCTCATTATAATATTACCGCCCGTTAATCTGTAAGTTTACACGCACAGCGCAGTCATTTTGATTTCGTGTGTACCAGCTTTAATGCCATAGCGAAAGTTTGAGCAAAACATGCTAACTGTTCTGACTTTGGCTGCACAGACGAGCACAGAAAACTATTTAGATCTAAAATAAACATGCAATTTATTTCGCAGCAGTTTACCTTCACAGACATAACCGACTGTTTTTGTAACTCATGTGTGTTTTTAATCTAAACTGGTGTGTGAATGAAAACTTAGTTTAGTACTCACATGCTGTGACAGCCGCTTTCTGTCCATGTGCTTCAGATGTGTGCACTCAGAAAACCGTATACCAGAAGTTTAAACTAATATTGTTTAAAACGCATGATAAACGCTCGATAAACGTGATAATCAGAATCAAAACAGATGTTTTTTAGCAGGTACGAGCTGTAATGGCGCAGCTCTTTTCTGGAAAAGGGGGCAAGGATCAGCAGCTCATTTGCATTTAAAGAGACAGGCACGAAAAACATTGTTTCTGCTTCCACTCAAAATAGGCATTTTTCTAAATGATATAATAAATTATCTGTTGATTATTTTGAGCTGAAACTTCACAGACACATTCTGGGGACACCAGAGACTTATATTACATATTGTAAAAAGGGGCATAATATGTCTCCTTTAAACTAATATCATCCTCACATGTTCTTAAAGGGGTCATATTATGCTTTTTTAAAGATCATTATTTTGTGTATTTGGTGTAACACATGGATATACACTCGCCAAATGAGAGTAAACATAGACTGAATAAATTTTACTTTTACGTAGTAACTTTATTAGAAACTTCAGCATAACACACTTTACGTGGAATTCTGTGTTCTATCAAAGCCAAAGACATCAATTGTCTACTAAAAAAGCTGTTTGTGACTCACATGTCTTAAGTGTTTTATGTGATCATTAGATAAGTTTATCTGGGATGCGTAGGTGTTTTCCCCTCCAGAACTCCATATTATCCATAGGGACAAAATCTAATATGCACAAAACCACTCCACAACTGCACTCCTTTTTTTCATTTACCCTGTTTTTCTTCAATTACAAATCATCAGTCAACTACATAATGATATGATATTGTTTGATATGATAGGATAACGATATTGTGAGTTTCAATTAAAAAAAAAATCACTAAATGGGAATCGCTGAAAGACATACATTAAAATACTGCCGTGGCATTTAAAAACTCAAAATAAGAGTCTTATTAATTTTCTGTTGTAGATGGCATTGGCATTCCTGCCATCAGGGGCAGCGGGCTGTGAAAGAGTGCAGAAGATACATTGACAAGGATATGAACTGCTGCTTCAACAGAGCCACGCTGAGATGAGATGTGACTGTGGAATGTAGTTTTGTGAGTTAATTTCATATAAAAAAAAAATAGATTGTTAAGAAATCATATAATGGATAAAGAAATAAAAAATTGGGTCTGTTTAGGACAAACCTATTCACTAGAATGAATCTGACTTTCCAAAATGAGAAAGAGGTCCCTTTAGGACAAACTAATTCACTTGAATGAATCATACTTCCCAACACTACACATGAAAGAAAAACAGCCATTTAGAAATGAAAACCCAGAAATGAAAATTCTGTCATCATTTAAGCACTTTAAGAAGTTATTTGGAAGAATGTTGGTAACCAAACACTTGACAAGTAGCCATTGACATTCATATTGTGGGAAAAAATGTTTTAATTTTGGGTGAACAGCACCACTTTTTTTTTTTTTTAAAGCACCACTATTTAAGAAAATTGAGAAAAGGAAGTAAATATATTTATACATGCAAAAATGTTAATTGATGTTAATCTAATATCACCTCTCTCTCGCAGTTCTCCTATTACAGACAGCAGCCCGTATGAAGTCCGGCGCGCTCAGGAACTGAACAATCTGCTGGGGCCGAAAGGATCCACAGATGCAATCGACTTGATCTGTGACCTTCATAACACGACGGCTAACATGGGCCTCACACTGATCCATTACACGACCAGTGACTGGGTGACTCTGGCAAGAACATCACAAGTGTGCTTCAATAAACACCATACTGGAAACCAAGGTCAGGCGTTCTCAACTGGTGGGAGGTTTGACCCAAATTTGGACAGACATCAAGAAAAAAACCATTACAGAAAAATAAATATACTAAACATTCAGTGTATAATCTGGGTCCTGAAGCAAAACCAGTGAAGAACCACATACCTACGTTGTCGTGTTCCATTTTAATTGTTGACCATTGAGTAGAATAGGTTTTTTTGTGCCTGTGCACGTGTTTTGATGTTGTGTGTTGTCATGTACACATTTAAGACTAAGATAACCAAAGTGCCTGTGAGAGTGCTGGTACTGGATTTCCCAATTAGTGACGCATATAACTTCGAGTCAGTATCCAGGCATGGCTTTTGTAAGTGATGGTGATCATCTCATTGCATTTGCTTTGTGTACTCGACCACAAATGCACATTCAGATGACCTGTGTTTCTGTAGCAATAGAGGTCGGGCCGCAGCCGCATGGTGTCGTCAGGGCTGACATCTATATCATTATGAAAGAGGCCGTAGACTTGACAATAGACTGGATCCACAAATTCAACTCAGGTACTGTTAGACCTAATCAGACGTGGCTTATATTTGTGTGTCGTAAGTGTGTTTTATATCAAACTATGTTGTTTTCAGGAACGGTGTTTGAAGGCGGGGATGTGGAAGCCTTTAAGTTTATCAAAAGTGTGGATTATCCAAGAGATCCAGAGACTCGGACTCTCACCTCTGCCATTCATCCTCAGCTGCAGGTGCCGATCATTCTGCTATTTATTATATTTACACACAGAGTTAGCAGGAACATGTCCAGATCATATTTCATGCCAGAAACCGAAGCTTGTTTTAGCACCATTTTCCCAATATTTATTACAGTAATGGAGAAAAAAATCTTTTTTTTGGAATTTTTTTTTTGTAAATTAAAGAATTTTAAAATATTTTTTTTTATTTTGGGTAAAACATGACATACATTTGATGTGAAATTCATCTCAAATGTAAATTTTTCTTTCCTAGGACAGAGACTTCTGTCTCCTCATGCGGGGAGACCCTTTGTTTTTTACATTTTCTAGAGAAACTGTGAAGCCACTGTATGATTGTCTTTGGTGGATGTCCTATCATATACTCTAATGCATGATAGAATTAACCCTTTCATGTATGAATTATTAAATCACAAAGTAATATTTTTATATGTATGTTTTTACTTTTAAACAAGTGAAAAAGCATGCCAATAACTTTTTTGTTCTTTCAAAATATTTTATTTTGAGGGAGTTACATATCTGTCTACTGTAGTGGACACCATGCATCAAGGGTATAAAAAGTGATTTTATAGAACTTATTATTTGGTTTGAAAAAACATGTTTATAAAACATTTACAACGAGCAAATGGTATGAATACACATAAGAACATTAAATAACAACAAACTATGTCATGACGGCACAGTAAAGTTCAGTGTAACAAACAAAAGGTAAGAGAGTGTGTGTGTGTGTGGGGCGGGGCTGTGTGGGGGTGGTGGGCTATTCATACACAGGTGAGCACACACACACACAAACACACACACACACACACACACACAAAAACACACACTCGAACGCAATCAAGCACAAATATCCCTGCACTCAGTGCAATACTCATACACTCATACATGCCTACACTTTTATATGACCTAATAAAGAAATATAGACTGTAAGCATTGAAATAAATAATAAAATCTGAAGACTATTTAATATTGCAGTTTAATAAAACTATTCAAGTGTAAATTATATAATAATTTTGATAAAACAAACAAAATAAGGCAGAATCTACTGTATATATAGGCCCAATAGGCCCAATATACCCTTTGGCACATAACGTCCACTGGAATGGACAGATGTATTTTCCGTCACAGAAAAAATTTGGCTGGTAAGTCTTTGGGTGTGCCAGTACAAATCGAGCTCTATGGCATGGTGGCAGTTACCAGTTAAATTTGACTTCCATTAAGTGCGTTAGTGTAAACATGTTCTCCTTTGTTTTTAATTAATTCAAGTTAACCTGCACTAAACCCTATATGACGGTGGCCGAGAGAGCTCAACGCGCTGCGACTTAAAGGGGTCATATGATGCGATTTCAATTTTTCCTTTCTCTTTGGAGTGTTACAAGCTCTTGGTGCATAAAGAAGATCTGTAAAGCTGCAAAGACTAAAGTCTCAAATCCAAAGTGATATTCTTTATAAAAGTTAAGAGTCAGCCACACCTACCTAAAACGGCTCGTTCTAACACGCTCGTTCTGGCACTTTGGGTGTGCCAGCTCGCCAACAATAACTAAATTACCTAGATCTTGTAATTTCAACATCTGAACTGCATAGAAATGGACAACAGGACATTATAAGGAAACCTGCAAAGTTTCCTGAATTGTCATTGCAAGAAAGCACTATAAGTCAGCACAATCCTAACATTGCAACTCCAACCAAAGAAGTTTTTCAGAAATGGGCTATTTTGCAACAGCAGGTGTTCATGCCCTGAGGAAGTAGGAGGGAATTGTGACAGGAAATACTGGTTTGTTATAAAATGCTAGCAGAGGTCGGTTGTAAGGTTTAGGTATAATTGCAGGTTCTGCAGTCCTCTCAGTTGTAATGTTTCTCCTCCCCCTCGTTTTCCTTCCACACACACACTCTCTTTAGCGCATGTGTGAGTCAGCAAAACGCTCGCTTAATGCTGGAGCTTCATGGCCAGTGGAAGTGAGAGCTGCTGTTACATCAGCATCATGCGTGAAAGATGATCCAGTGCTGCTGACTGAAGCAGGCAGAGAAGAACGAGGTAAATCATTGTTGTGTAGGTTACTTGACTGTGTCTGAGCAATAGTGGAAGAATGTCTTAAACTATTCATGTGTGTGCGTGTGTGTGGGTGGGTGTGTGCAGAAGCAGCTCCTGCAGTGTTGTGGCCCCTGAGGCTAGATTAGGCTAAATGTGTGTCAGCACGCATGCCCTGTCACACCTGAGCATATGTGTCCAAAGGTCTGTTATGCCTTGTGCAGTTTCACTCAGTAAGACGATTAGGGGGGAAAGCAGCTGGAAGAAGGAGTGAAACAACATTACTTCTGTATTAAAAATAACGGTAGGCTCACCTTTCATTTTTACAGCTTTTACTCTCATATGTTGCATGTTGTTGTAAAATGTGAGACAGCTTCATTGAATTCACATAGTTTTATTTTAATAGCTTCTTTTTCATTTTAGGTAATGTTTTAGTCATTTTGATGTGTGTCATTTTTGCTAGCTTTTTAATAACTAAATCGAGTTTTTATTACTTTGTATTTCAGTTTTAGTTATTTTAGCAGGCTACTTCGAATTAAACTAAACCAAAATGAGAAATGTTGCCTTTAAAACGAAATAAAATAAAGTTTTTTTAAGTATATATTTTATTAAAATATTTATTTTTATTCAAGTAACACGTTTTAATAGGTTTAGTTAGTTAGTTGTCGTTAACAATAATAAACCTGCCTCCATTGCTTTATTTTCATTTACCTGTTAAAGTTCAGTAAATAATTGTTTTTCTCAACCCCAACAATTGTCTTTTGTTCTCATTAACAGTGCAGTTTTCAGTCTGTTGTGCAAACCATGCAAAATGTCAGTATGTGACCCTTGTTCTGTTTACCTCCGGTATGGGATTATGAATGACGGTTTTGTTGTTTATTAACTCTCTCATCAGTTCTACAAATCATCAGTCAACTACATAATAATATGAAACCATCAGTCTAAAATAAAAAAATAAGCTATATAGTATGGTGGCCGAGAGAGCTTAACGCGCTGCAAATAAAATAACACATGCAAATAGAAAAACACCAGCAAATTAAGAAAACATAATTAACAGTTTGACAACACACGCGCTGCAAATACGCACAACATCGGAAATGCATAAGGGAACCATGGTTTTACTATAAAAAAAATGGTGGTAAAATGGTAAACGCCAAATACATCATTACTACACTTTTACTATAATAAAACCATGGTTCATTTTCGTAAGGGTTGTTGGGGTCCCCTTGAAACATTTCCGTTGTGGTCTATGCAACGCTTTTCTCTATTTGGTCATGTTGTGAGTATTTGCAGCGCGTGTGTTGTCAAACTGATTAAGATGTTTTCTTAATTTGCTGGTGCTTTTTCTATTTGCATGTGTTTTCTTAAAGGGGTCATATGATGCTGCTAAAAAGAAAATTATGTTGTGTATTTGGTGTAATGAAATGTGTTTATGTGGTTTAAGGTTCAAAAAACACATTATTTTCTACATAATGTATATTATTGTTTCTTCTCTATGCCCCGCCTTTCTGAAACGCAATGGAAGTCAAATTTAACTGGTAACTGCCACCATGCCATAGAGCTCGATTTGTACTGGCCACACCTCTTTCTCACCCACTGCGGGAGATTATTTGCAAATGCAAATTGAAAAATGGTAGGCTAATAAAATCTGTTTAATACAGTGTCTCTACCAATAACAACATCCAAAATATACTATGAATCAGTATTCGAATCACTGAACGGGCTCATGATATAATAATAATTGTAGACAGACAATAAAATACTGCCGTGGCATTTGAAAACTCAAATAGTGTTATTAACTTTCTGTTGTAGATGGCATTGGCGTTCCTGCCAGCACTGGCTCGTATGGCCGTATGCGGCGGTACTCATGGAAACGAGCTGTCCGGTGTGTATGTGGTGCAGGAGATGGAGCGACAGCGGAAAGAGACGGGAGAGCACGCGTGGCCGATTCCCGTTACAACCGTGCTGTCAAACCCACGGGCTGTGAAAGAGTGCAGGAGATACATTGACAAGGATATGAACCGCTGCTTCAACAGAGCCACGCTGAGGTGAGATGTGGAACTGCAGCATGGAATGTTGGAGCGTATAGCCTTCTGTATATTATATACGCAGTGTTGGGGGTAACTCATTACAAGTAACGCGGGTTACGTAATCAGATTACTTTTTCAAGTAACTAGTAAAGTAACGCATTACTTTTTAGTGTTAATTTCGTTAACGAAGACTATGACGAAAAATGTTCTTTGATGAGATTTTTTCCCATGACGAAGACGAGACGACAATACGGTCAATAAACGATAACTAAGACTATATCAACATGCAATTTCGTTGACGAAATAAGACAAGACTAAAATGTATTCAAAAAGATAAAAACTTTACAAAAAACCTTGTTTTATTTTCGCAATTTCGTTGTCGAAAAAAGACGAGACTAAAATGTATTCAAAAGAATAAAAACTTTACTAAAAACCTCTCTTTATTTTCGTCAAAAAAGGAGACAAAATGTTATTGCAGACTGCTCTACACGCCTCTACTACGCGAGCTTTCATGAGTGCGGTTGCCAGATATCAAGAGTTCTAATCCCCGGATCAGAGCTTCGCTGTTAAATTCATACATCTTCTGACCGGTGTGTTTTGCTTATTTTAAGCAAAATATTTTTTTATCTGTTCAACCATTATACAGAATGACGAAAATGTGACTAATATTTCATTGACTAAAAAACCTGACTAAAATGCTCATACATTTCAGGACAAGTTTGTCTAAATTTGATAACTAAAATGTACATTTGAGTAAGACTAAGACTAAATAAAAAATGGCTGCCAAAATTAATACTGCTGTACGGTTAATTAATAATAATCTTATTGCTAAAATGTCAAGTTTTCATTGACTAAAACTAGACTAAAATACGTCAAGTTTTCATTGACTTAAACTAGACTAAAATACTTTAGATTTTCTTGGACTAAAACTAGACTAAAATGTTGAGACTTTTAGTCGACTAAAACTTGACTAAAACTAAATAGGATAAGGTTGACTAAATATGATAAAAACTATCAAGGACATTTTAGCCCGGGACTAAGACTAAGACTAAAATGAAAATAGCTGACAAAATTAACACTAGTATGTACGTATTATATACAGACGTTACGTTAAAAAATAGAACAGAGAAGGTTCTAAATTCTAGGTCTATTGTTTGATTTGAATTTGGCCATCTCAACCATTTTGACATTTGACGACCACTGATGCAGACCAGCCTAAAAATATAACTTTTAAAGTTAGAAAAATACCTTTTTGTCATTCTTATTATTTAGGGGTCTTGTCCCCCTCAGTGTCTGTGGTGGTTATGGCCCTGAGTTAAGTAGATGTTGACATGTCGTGCAGCACCACAAAAATTGCAAAGCGAGTAAATATATTTCAACATGCAAATATGTTACTGCATAGCTCTAAAATCCCCTGTTTCTTGCAGTTCTCCTATTACAGACAGCAGCCCGTATGAAGTCTGGCGCGCTCAGGAACTGAACAATCTGCTGGGGCCGAAAGGATCCACAGATGCAATCGACTTGATCTGTGACCTTCATAACACCACGGCTAACATGGGCCTCACACTGATCCATTACACGACCAGTGACTGGGTGACTCTGCACATCTGCAAATACTTACAGGCAAGAACATCACAAGTGTGCTTCAATAAACACCATACTGGAAACCAAGGTCAGTCATTCTCAACTGGTGGGAGGTTTGACCCAAATTTGGACAGACAACAAAGGGAAAAACAATGGTAAATGCAAAAAAGAAATTGCAACTTAGAAGCAAAAATAAAAAAGTAATAGTTAGGAGAGCAAAATAAATAAATACACAAAAATACCCAGTGTTGTAATGTATTCTGACTACTTTTGGATTACTTTTAGATTACTTTTGACCCAACTTCTTTATAGATTTAAATGGGATTATTGTTATAGAAAAAATATATGACCATTACCTGGCATCAGAGAACATGCAAATGTGTTGTTAAATTATTTGAAGTATTACCTTTAAATCTCAGGGGGGCTTCAAGTAAATATTTGAGGTCAGAGGGGTTTGACTGACAAAAAAGTTTGGGAATCCCTGCATCACAAGAACAAACATAAAAACATGAAAACAGCACTGACATGGACAAAGTCTTCCAGGTTTTAAATAATTTTGTGAGTTATACATCAGAAGTTTTTAGTAACTTGCGTAGTTCTTCTCATAAATGGAATAATTGACTGAGAGGTGCTTTTGTCCCCAAATTCAGCTGCATGGATTGCAAATTAATTTACGTGACATTTACTTGGCCATTATATATTGTGAATGCTCACTGTATACAATAGAATATTTTTTAAGAAGTAAAATTTAAGAAAAAAAAAAGAAGAATTAGGGAGAATTAATTATGGATAATTTACTGTCATTGTTTGAATGAGTTGTAATCATGTAATCCATAAAAAAGTAACTGTAATCTGATTATGAGCATTTTAAAACATTATATAATCTAATTACAATTACTTAATTTTTGGAATCTGATTACGTAATCCAGATTGCATGTAATCAGTTACTACCCAGCGCTGAAAATACCCAATATTCAGGGTAAATTATGGGTCCTGAAGAAAACCAGTTAAGAGCCACAGACCTAGGTTTTTGTTTATGTGCCATTTTTGTGTTTTGATGTTGTGTGTTGTCATGTACACATTTAAGACTAAAATAACCAAAGTGCCTGTGAGAGTGCTGGTACTGGATGTCCCGATTAGTGATGCTTATTCCTTGGAGTCTGTATCCAAGCATGGCTTTTGTAAGTGATGGTGATCATCTCATTGCATTTGCTTTGTGTACTCAACCACAAATGCACATTCAGATGACCTGTGTTTCTGTAGCAATAGAGGTCGGGCCGCAGCCGCATGGTGTCGTCAGGGCTGACATCTATACCATTATGAAAGAGGCTGTAGACTTGACAATAGACTGGATCCACAAATTCAACTCAGGTACTGTTAGACCTAATCAGATGTGGCTTATATTTGTGTGTCGTAAGTGTGTTTTATATCAAACTATATTGTTTTCAGGAACGGTGTTTGAAGGCGGGGATGTGGAAGCCTTTAAATTTATCAAAAGTGTGGATTATCCAAGAGATCCAGAGACTCGGACTCTCACCTCTGCCATTCATCCTCAGCTGCAGGTGCCAGTCATGCTGCTATTTATTATATTTACACACAGAGTTAGCAGGAACATGTCCAGATGATAAGAAAATTAAGTTTATTTTAGAACCAGTTATTTTCTTTTTATCCATTTTTATTATAGTAATGGCAAAGTATTAATTTGTCATGGTAGTATTTGTAGTTTTGCTTTTTTTTATGGGAATTATACAAAAAGGGAAAACGTAGATGTCTATATGCAAATGTGCTTTGCAAATTACAGAATGTCAGAATGGGCTTGAAAATATGCAAAATATAATTGATTTTCTTGATTTTGGGTAAAAGGTGACCTAGATATGTTTATGTGAAATACACCCAAAATCTGAACTGTTTTTCATTGTTGTTTTTGTTTTTTCTAGGACAGAGACTTCTGTCTCCTCAAGCGGGGAGACCCTTTGTTTTTGTCATTTTCTGGAGAAACTGTGAAGTATGAAGAAGAGCCACTTCATCCTTTCTTTATCAATGAAGCTGCCTACTATGAAAAGGAAATCGCTTTTCACTTGGGAAAAAAGATGATGCTGACAATTCCATCAGTGCAGGTGCAGAAAGACTGAAGGATGAGAGAGAAGATATTAAACTCAGCACAATTACCAACACCAATCACATGATTTTAAAAGATAAATGTCACTCAAATTATTTGAACAATAACTTATAACTCAGGTACATTACATACTTGTTTGTAGCTATATGACAATGAAAGACTCATTTTGATCTGCTGCTAAAACACAAGCAATGGTGTTCTGGATGAAAAGATATTTATTGTGACCAGCAAAATGTTCACTTGACAGGATCGTGTACAAAACTGTATAAAAAAGGCAAAACCATCTGAAGTATTTCAGACACCATCGTGATGATGTCACAGTGGGCTGTGGAGTGTGAGGTATCCTCTTAATTGTATTGCTCATATGCTGTTGCTCTCGCCTGACTGTTTTGAGAAAATTGAGCCTCTCATGGGCTCGGAATAAAAAGACTAAATAAAAAGCACTCACTTGAACAAAACATGATCTCAAATACTACAACACGAAGAATAAACCACATGACACAATGAAAGTAAGTGAAGCTGAATGTGCACGGTGTGATTTTTACCACTGGTACAATTTTTGCACAATATGATCCCAGTGAAATCTTGAGTAAAATCTACAACCGACTGCAAGTCATCAACAGATTTTTTACATCAAAGTGTGCATGACATACGTGATGAATGACAGCAGTAACTGGAAGTTTTAAGTCACTCGTCCACATCATTTGACATTGAGCCTTTACATTCATTTCACCAATGTTTTGAGTGTCAGTTTTGGCTTTACATGCACTAATTTTCTTGTCATATTGTCTATGCAATCGTAAACCACTGAGAAAATCTACAAAGTATAACAAAAACATCATGGTGAAAAATCACATGATGTGCACCAGCTAAATGTTTTATATGAAATATAAATAAGTATATAACCAACCACAGCTGAGATGGTTTTAAATTGCAACCTGAACCATCACAAAACATTGGATTCTAAACAAAGTTACTAAACAAGTGTAAAGTACACAAAGATTACATTCTCAAATAGAAACTAAATGGTAAACAACAGAGTAAAACCAATGCAAAGCACAAGAAAAAATAATAAATAAGCAAACCAAATGATCAGGAATACACAAAAGGCTCGAGTGGTTAATGATTATGACAGAAACAAACATTCAGTCTTTCAGGCCAAGGCAAAACCCTATTGCATCTTGGGATTGCGAAGCGCTAAAATACAATCACTTCAAGATGTAACTGAGTAGCTACAACACAGGCCGAATAAAAAACACAGAGGTGTTATTTAAAACAAAAGAGAAGATGAAACTAAACCTAACTCATTGAAATGAGTTTAGGTCAACAGGTAAAGTGAGACTAAACAAAAAGGTGAAGCCCTGAATAACTACTGTTTAATGTTTATAGATGCTTTTCTGTTGAGCAAGAGTCTGACTGGCTGCGGGTGAGAAGTTGTGTTTCTCATCTTCAACAGCACAGATGCAAAAAGAGTGGTTAAAAAGGCAGTTATATAGTAGTAAGATCCTTCAAGAAATGATTATATTCACAGGAGAGTGCTATGGGTGGGGGGCATTAGTTAACCTACTAACATTTAGTGGTGTGTTCTGACTGTTTCCTTCATAATTTTAGCTTGATCAGTGGTAAAAGCAGCCGCTGAAGCAAACGTGGCCGTGTGCTTTCTATGAGAGCGGACAATCGCTTCGGTGACCCTATAGTCAGTCCTCTATTGCCTAGGCAACCCTGTAGGCTGTCATTCGAGTGTAGTGTTGGCGGTGGCTCCTCGCGGCCCATATGAAGAGCGCAGCAGCCATGATCTGCAGCGGAGACGAGACCAGGGCCAAAAACAAGGACCAGCCCGGAGAATAGTCCATCCCCTCTGGCAGCTCAGATATTTCGTGTATCAAATGCATCCCCGCAAGGAAACAGCATACAGTTGCCATGGAACACAGGCCTGAGAAAACAAAATACGTCAAATTATAATGATCTCTTTCTCTGGGTGCTGTGGAAATGCAGGCATTAGCTGTTATTACTGTCTTACCGGCCAGCAGATGCAGCAGCCCTACAAATAGTGTGGGAGTGATACTGCGGCAAAGGCAGGCGCACACTCCAATCAACGTCGCGAGAAACACCAGCCCCACAGAGACCAGCGGCAACAGGAACTGACACTTCCACAAGTCTGTGGACACAAACATTCAAAACATAATGACAAAGCAAATGACAAAACATCCTGTTGCTCACTGCGGCTGGTTAAGTCAAATACTATATTATATACTATATTATATTATACCAGCCGCAGTGAGCAACAATCATTCATATATGTGACCCTGGACCACAAAACCAGTCATAAGGGTCAATTTTTTGAAACTGAGATTTATACATCATCTGAAAGCTACAATGGAGTAAATAAGCTTTCCATTGATGTATGGTTTGTTAGGATAGGACAATATTAAGGATAGGCCGAGATACAACTATTAGAAAATTTGGAATCTGAGGGTTCAAAAAAAAAAAATCAAAATATTGAGAAAACTGCCTTTAAATTTGTCCAAATTAAGTTCTTAGCAATGCATATTACTAATCAAAAATTAAGTTTTGATGTATTTACGGAAGGAAATTTACAAAATATCTTCATGGAACATGATCTTTACTTAATATCCTAATGATTTTTGGCATAAAAGAAAAATTTATAATTTTGACCCATACAATGTATTTTTGGCTATTGCTACAAATATACCCCAGCGACTTAAGGCTGGTTTTGTGCTCCAGGGTCACATATAACATATGAATGATTCTAACTTACAAAAGGAAACATCTGGATAGGACTGTGTCTAGACAATAAACAATTATAAGTGAATGGAATGAGCATTAAAAACAATATTGAGAGCTCTTTTCATTGTAGCTATTAAATGGAAAATCATTTTATGACACAGCAGGTTTTTATTATGTGTGCTAATCAAAGACCTGGGCAATACATATTTAATGTTTTCAATGTCTTCAACATGATTTTAATGGCAATATAAAATTAGGCAGCATCATTTTAACATGTTTTTATTTGGTCATTAAGTTTACAATAAAATGTGTAATATAAATGAAAATAAAATCTTCACAATATTTACACTACTATTCAAAAGTTTGCGGACTAAGATTTTTTTAAATGTTTTTGAAATGAGTCTCTTCTTCTCACTAAGATTGCATTTATTTGATCAAAAATACAGTAAAAGCAGTAATGTTGTGAACTATTATTACAATTTAAAGAACTGTTTTCTATGTGAATATATTTTAAACTGTAATTTATTCCTGTGATGTTAAAGTTTAAATTTTTCAGCATCATTGATTACTCCAGTCTTCAGTGTCACATGATCTTCAGAAATCATTCTAATATGCTGATTTGCTGCTCAAGAAACATTTATTATTATTATCAATGTTGAAAACAGTTGTGTTGCTTCATGTTTTTGCGGACACCGTGATACATTTTTCCCAGGATTCTTTAATAAATTAGCAAGTTCAAAAGAACAACATTTATTTGAAACAGCAATCTTTTGTAACACTTTAAATGCCTTTACTGTCACTTTTGATCTATTTAACGCATCCTTGCTGAATAAAAGTATTAATTCCTTTATATACACATCTAGAAATACCCCGGCATTTTAAATGGCAGTGTGTCAATAAAACTGAATATCATCTAATGAAAGCCGTAAAAAGTATAGGTGTGTGTACATGATTGATTTAGTCATGACGTACAGGTACGCAGCAGATCTTCTCCGCTGTTAATATTTCCAGGAGATCTGTACTTGGATTCCCACTGCTGTGGCAAAGTAAAAGCCTGGCATTTAGTCACCATTATTGAATCTGGAAAAGGAGGACGCAGAGAGCAGACAAAGCAACATGTAGTTAGCATCCATTTTTAACTTAATGCACAACTAATAAAAATGCATTATCATAAATGCCAAAGTGGAACATTCTCTCCTCACCAGGCTCTTTAAACCAGTGCGAGTCTTGGGGCACCAGAATGCAGCGCCACCAGAGACCCAGCGTGCCATTGAGCCGGAACAGAGCGACGCTGTAGATCCTCTCATCCACGTCCTCTGCCTCAAAGTCCTGCCGTAGGGTCTGCAGGTCCGAGCCATTGCTGGCGTCATTGCTGGCCGGCTGGCTGTGGTACTGGTACCACTGCTGCGTTCCCATGGCAACAGAGAGATAGACGGTGGCAAGCAGGCTCAGCACGGAGCCGATAACCAGCGCCGTGGCATAACGGTTGTCCACCATGGTTCTGAAGATGTGATACAAAAAGAATTCCTGTAGATGGCCGACAATTAACTCTTTAGTAGATGAGTGTGGTGACTGATGTGAGGAGAACGGTCATATCATTTGTATGGTTTTTGGTGACAGAGGTTGCTTTATATCCTCCTATAATATCCAGCGCAGAATGCCAGATCTCATCCTCATAGACGTGATCCTTCTTGAGATCAAATGAAGCGAGTCATCTGCAACAGAGAAGAGTGTGATTCATTCTTAAAGTAGTCAAACAAAGTCATGTTTACATAAGAAGTTAATACACTTTTTAAGGAGGAATAACTCATAGGATTTGCCAAGGTTTGCCAAAGACACTCCCAGTTTCGAGGCATTTAGCCAGGCAGCTAGACATCCATGAGTCTGTCTATTGCATGACTGTAAAATAATCTGTACTTACTATTGCACAAGCTATTTCAGATAAAAGCCACTAAAATGGTATAACAAAACACTAAATAAAAGATTTCCTATAATCAAAAAATAAAAAAAAATTCAATACAATAAACAAAAAGTGCTCTTTACCAGGTCGATGTGTACGTTATTATTATTATTCAGTTAACTATATAATACAATCATTTTCGCAGCGTTAAAATGCACAACGTAACATTTCTTTCCATGTATAATTTAGATATATTTAACTGACACAATAGACTAATGTTCAATATTTCGTACATTAAAGCTGTTTGACGTTGGCTAGCATGAGAGCTAACAGGCGGATTTTAAGCGACATACTCGAGAATTTCGCGAATAAAAAACTAAGTATTTAAACTTGGAGTGTTCTGTACTTTATATAGCAATGAAACACCTCATGTAGGTTTTGTTTAAAGCAATAAAAGCTGTTTGTGATTGCCACTTACCATATTGCTCACACCCTTGGCGCTGACGACGATTCCATTTCCGGTTACGATTACGAACGCTCGTGCTGCACATCACAAGCTCAATCCACACAGACAAGGGCACAATCAGTGCGCTCGACGGACTAGATAGGCGTTTGATACTAGGTTTTATTTTTTTACACGTCCTGACCAAAACGGAAGGACACAAAAAGATAAGGAACTAAAACGTTTTCTTCTTCACGCTGTCCTTGCCTTTTAAAAGTGGCTTATATATCATATGCTCCATTTAGTTGGGTCTCTACTTTCCATTCAATAACATTTTAGGTTTTTTTTGGGAACCCAGACAGTTAGATTCGTATTATTATTTCATATTTTCACATCAACATTATTATTATAAAATATTAGAAACAAAGCAGTATAATGTTTAAAAGAATCGGTGGGTATATGACAATCATTGTCTTTCTGCCATAAGCAGCTCAAATCCTCCTGTTTTTGCATGCCATCATTAGCTTTGCATGCACAATTTTTATTTTTTATTATGCATCAGAAAAGGTGAACATGCTTTTGGCATTTCACACCATAAGTGAATCGCTGCTCATTTGGAGATTTCACATATAAAACTAAATTATTGTAAACCACCCTGCTTGCCTTTAGACCCCCGAAATAAAACAAATGTGAAATCAAATCACCATATATCTCTGATAAAGACCGTTTGTATAAAATAATGCAGTTTATTTCACACACAACCATGGATTTTTGAACTGCTTTAACAGTACAAGTAATAGACATACAGTGTACAGATACAAAAACATTCAACATTAGCTATTTCATAGTGATGTATCACAAAGCATGTGATGTAAAAAAGTCACTAATTTGCAAAAAAAAAAAAAAAAAAGGCAATTGATTTAAGTGTTAATTTTATTTATTTCCAGTTTAATTTAATGCTTCAATTTAAACTTATTTCAGTTTCTCATTTTCATTTATTCTAAGATTTTCTGCTTTATTTTTATATTTTATTTTATTTTAGCCTCATTTCAATTAACAAAAATGTTTTAGAAGTTTGTAGTTAGTAGTTTGTTTTAGTTAACGATAATAACCCTGCTGTGGACATGGCTTGAAAGCTGAGGAATTACAGTCAAATTTTTTCAGTGGGATTTATGACGCTGTAGAATGTTAGAACGGGCTGGGCGACTCAGAATTAGGGGCCGTTTACATGACAACGTTTTCAGCCAAAAACGGGAAACTTTTGTCAAAATAAAAACTAAGATTTCTAGTATTATTCAAAAGAATTAAAAGTGCAAATAATAGAAGGACTTAAAATCAGCAGTAGAAAATCAATATTAACATCATAAAGGCATCTAATGCATTAAAATTACGATCACAGCTCATTTTCTGAGCAGCATTGATACCTGAGAATTACTGTACATGTGCGAGATATTACTGTAGATTCACAGTGATCACATATTCCATACAGTACTCATGCGTGTCATATCCTTTACAGCTTCCTATTTCATCCTTTAGATTCCTTCAGATCAGTGAAATGTGTGATGCGAATGTTTTATTCTAAGATCGTTCTGCTCCAGAAGGTCTTGTCTGTTGAGCTACTCTTGAAGTGGCCGGTTGACTTCACAGTGCCGTTTATGACAGGAGTGTCAGTGAACTCCACCGTGCAGGAACCTGAGGAGCAAGGTGACGCCTCCAACTCCAGAACAGTTATGTTGTTTTGGACGGAGGTGCTGAGCAGGTGGGCTGGGACAAAGAGGGTCACCTGTGGCCCACGGGACGGCCAGTAGCGGCCCACGTTAAAACCGTTAATCCACACTTGACCCTGAAATAAAAAGTACGTTATGATCTCTTTATAATTATTCCAGTGCTAATCTATTGGGGATTCTGATCTCTTCACATCGATCAATGGATTTCAGTGAAACCAAGAGCAGCAGTTAAGACTCCTACCTTCCTCCAGTTGGGAAACTGGATGTATGTGTCCTGAGGGAGGTCAGGAATGCCGTCGGGGATGATGAAGCTGCCAGCGTAGAAGGTTGGAGGTGAAAGAGCAGGAGGAGAGGAGGTGGTGAAGCTGGTGGAGGTGGAGATGAATCCGCTTGATGCCGACAACAGCCCCTCACGCACTGCTTCATCTATACTCAGAGAGTACACCGTCCAGTTACCCAGAACATCAGCACCCAGAGTCAGATTAAACACCAGACCCTGAGGAACAGAGAAAGGAAAAGAAAAAAAACAGAGATATGGAAAAGGGGAGAAAGGGTATGGAAAATGGTAAAGATGGAAAAAATAATAACAATAATAAAATGAATAAAAATAATAGTTATTATTCTTAGAGAAGTTATAAGAATTGTATGTGCTTTTATAATTTTTATGAATTTGTTTTTTAATATTACTAATATTTAATACTACTACTTTACATACATATATATATATACACAATATACACAATATCGGGAAACTTTTTATGCGTTTTGCCTGCTCGTTTACACGACAACGACGTAATGGGGACTGAAAATGACTATTTTTGAAAATGGGTTTCAAAGTGCAAGTTTTCGAAAACGGCACCGTTATCGTTTCCGTGTAAACATCCAGTAAGGGAATCTTTGAAAACGGTGACGTCATGCGCGTGCGTAGTACGTGTTAGGTATGTAGACATGCGCAGTACATGCCGATTTTAAAGGCAAGCGTGAACAAACATACACAACTATGGCGGGGTAGGATTTACTTCACCAATATTAGAACCAACAGCGGAGATGCATCATATACATCATATAATCGTCACTTCCCTACAGGTACTGTTTACTAACAAGGTGACAGCGCCAACTACTGGCCTGGCATACGTAATACAGCGCTTTTGGCCGTTTCGCGGATATGTGTAAACCATAGACTGTATAAAAACATGGACGTAGTGTCCGTGACGTAACCCGTAGACTTTCGACGAGCATTTTGAAGCCGAAAGTAGGCGGAGCTAGCCGTAGCCATCTTGGCAGTGCGTCACTGCGTGTCACTCCCGGATAATCGAAAATGGGCAAAGAGGCGGGAGCTGGCTGCTGTTGCCGCTCGGTGTAAACGCGAATCGTTTTGAAAACGTTGTCGTGTATACGTGAAACTTTTAAAAACGCAAGGGAAAAACTTTTCCGTTTTTGACTACATCGTTGTGGTGTAAACGTAGCCTTAGAAAAACAGGAAGTGAATAGGAAAGTTTTGGTTGCCTTGAAGTCATTAATTTCTCTGCCGTAGTTGATTCTGCCCATGTTCTCCACTAGGACGTCCACACGGCTGCCAGCTTTCCCTGTTATATTGATGGTGAGTGCCTTGTTCCTCTCCAAAATACCAGCAGCAATCTGAACAGTAAAAAGATTTATTAAGCACAGGATGAAATTAAACAATTGCACCTGTTCAAAAGTTTGGGGTCAGTAAGATTTTGAAATGCTTTTGAAAGAACTGTTTTCTATTTGAATATATTTTAAAATTTAATTTATTAATGCAAAGCTGAATTTTCAGCATTATTATTCCAGTCTTCAGTGTCACATGATCCTTCAGAAATCATTCTAACATGCTGATTTGATACTCAAGAAACTATTATTATTATTATTATTATCAGTGTTGAACACTTGTGCTGCTTCATCTTACTGCCCCAAACTTTTGAACGGTAGTATATAAGAATGTTGTGTTATGCAAAAGCTTCCAATTAGATATAAATTTGTGCACAAACTTTATCTTATGTTAAAATCTTACAGCGCTGTTTCACCATCGCATCTATTATGATTGAGTAACTCATAGTTCAATAAGACAGTCAACAGAGTAAAACAGTGCTGTTTACACCATCAAAGGATATATATGCCCGATCATGGACTCCATTTAGCAGGGACGACAGCGGGGTGGGCTTCAAACAGTTGACAGGTAACACAGTCTGATACAGCATAAAGCCAAAGGCCTGACGAGATAATGAGACATCCATATTCAATGCACAAATAAGACAAAGCAATGAGCACAGAGGGACCATGTAAATAACTAACATTACTGAACATAACTTCACATTTACTGACGAGATGTGACATACCTGATTCATTTCAGTAAATGTTGGTGGGTAAAGAGTTTTTACAGGGCCAGAGAAAGATAATATATCTAAAGACTCTGACACTGTCTTGAGCTGCAAGGACAAAGAGATCAATCACACTTCAGTTAGTAAAAAAAAACTGAGGTGTTATACAGAAAACATAATAATGTAAATATCAAAAATCATAAATACATTATAAATCATGTTACAACAGTAGACAGGCAAAGATGCAAAAAACCATTTACCTTCTTCATTTGCACTTGTCCATAAGCAAATTTAGGTGTTGATGGAGGCAGCAGTCCTTCTGGTAACTCTTTGTACTGTATTAAAAAAAAAAAAACAATCGGATCAATTTGCATCATTAGTGGCCGTTGCATTTCTCTATCAAAAATCACAATTCTTTTGAGAAATGTGACCCTGGAGCACAAAACCAGTCTTAAGTCGCTGGGGTATATTTGTAGCAATAGCCAACAATACATTGTATGGGTCAAAATGATTGATTTTTATTTTATGCCAAAAATCATTAGGATATTAAGTAAAGATCATGTTCCATGAAGATATTTTGTAAATTTCCTACTGTAAATATATCAAAATTTAATTTCTGATTAGTAATATGCATTGCTAAGAACTTCATTTGGACAACTTTAAAGGCGATTTTCTCAATATTTAGATTTTTTTGCACCCTCAGATTCCAGATTTTCAAATAGTTGTATCTCGGCCAAATATTGTCCTGTCCTAACAAACCATACATCAATGGAAAGCTTATTTATTCAGCCTTATAAATTGACCCTTATGACTGGTTTTGTGGTCCAGGGTCACAAATAGCTAATTTTCCCATTGACCTAATTTTACCATTTTGATGACTTCTCTTATGGCGAAATACTTTTCTGTGAGGTCTCCAGCTTCCGTAAGTGGGGCGTCATAGTCATAGCTGGTTGGTTGAGGACCATAAGGAGAGTTGGCGCCTATGATGCGATTAAAAACATGAATCGAGAAACTTGAAACTTATTTTTGGCTTGTTGAGGTACAAATCTCCAAAACCTACCATTCCAATAC